CCTTGAAGTAACCTTCAAAATTGACCTCAAGGTCAAAACCAATGGTACAATTGAATGACCCCCTCTGTCCTGGTCAACTTTTATCTAAACCATTTTTTTGTAGATACCGTAATTTGGAAGATATTCGGATCCATAGACTAAAATGACTCACCCTGTACCTATATCAACAATTTTTCGAAAAAATCAACAAAACATTGCAGGAGTTTTCAATAATTTTTCAAATGACTTAGATCATTACTTCTTCAAGTTTTCATGAATTATTATAACAATTTTCAATAACATTCAATTAATTTCATTATATTAAATATTGAAAACTTTTATATGTTATTTTTCAACAAATTCATTATTTTTCATTATCTTTCCTTATATTTCACAATATAACATTAAATTTTATACTGAAAGCTATGATTAATTTCAATTTATGTTAAATTATTATTCAATATTTCAATTAATTATTTAATAATAATTAATTATTATTAATCATTTTCCGTTTCATCGATTTCAACGTAACTTACATTTGCGACTAATACAGAATAGGTTTTAAATAAAACAAAACTTGAGACTAGTTATTATGATATAGCCATAAACAAACTAACACTACCAAACATAACCAAACTATTCGACCACAGGTCTGTATTCGTTTTATACCGTGTGCATATGAAAGTACACCATTTAATAGCGTGTATATGCCATTTAATTAAAAAAACCTATGAAACGACAGAATCTGCGTCCAATCTGCGCGCAATTGACCGTCAAAATCTGTCGGCAGGCTCTGCATGCAGTCTGTCACCAATCTGTTGTCAGAACAGATTCTGTGTACAATCTGTTGACATTTTGTCAACAGACACTGTCGACAGACTCTGCGCAAAATCTGTTCGCGCAGGTTTGGCTATCTAGATATGACAATGTCATATTTTTTTCTTGAAAGTATGTTTCTTTAGCTTTATAATGCGAGATTATAAAATCTTCACATGCTTTTTGTTGTGAAAATATGATTTATTTACAAAAACCAAATTTTTTCCAAAGTTGATATTTTTGCTTACTAATTTCTCATTAAAATAATTTTACAATAAATCGTTTCTCGGCAATGCCGTTTATTCAGTTACATTCTTGAGAATCTGAACTTTAATTAAAAAAAAAAGATGTTAAAAATATTTATCTGAACCAAAGTTATGACTTCTCAAAGTTACATAGGTCTCCCAAACCCAGGTGCTGTGTTTTCGGTCGGCGCCGGATTGCTGTGTTCTAGGGTTAATGAATCGTACACATACACAACGATGAATGAGTTTCCAAATTTTATCATTTAATAACTTGAAAACCACTATGCGTCTGAGTAAATGGTAAAACATGAATCAAATATTTTTTCGATTCTCGATCTGTCTACAAAATTATATTTAAATGAATTATTTATATCTCATGTAGTTCCCTTGTTAGCATCAGGATCATTACACTGAACATAAGAATACATGGACGGAGCGAATTGTCGTGGGAGTAAAACCCAAGGAATGAGGGGAATGATTGTATGTGTTGTAATGGAGTTGACATACTCAATGGAGTTGACATGATGGCGACTGTTTTTATACATAGACAATAGATACAAAACTCCGACACCAACATGGCCGCGACGATTCTCTTATCCCTTGGACTTCACAGCCCCTCTATAATCGCACCTTTCGCTCCGTCCATGTATTCTTACGTCCATGATGATACCTATGAGGCTTTTTCTAATTGCTGAAAAGTTCTTAACAAAACTAATATTCAGTTGTTGCAATTATAATAATATAAATATCAGATTTGGTTTCCGGATTTGAGCTGTGTAGATTCTTTTTTGTCTGATTCCGACGTTTCGCGAATATTTTAGTCCGCTTCATCAGGAAGAAACCCGTTGCCGAGTTGCTCCTAAGAGCTTTACCTTTATATAGTAGTTGACATAGAGGGAAGAAGAAGCAGGGAGTGGTTATCAGGGGGAAGGGTGAGGGGAAAATTTTTTGGTCTGTCAGTTTTCAGAATCTGACAGACCAACAAATTTTTCCCTCACCCTTCCCCCTGATAACCACTCCCAACTCCCTGCTTCTTCTCCCCTCTATGTCAACCACTATATAAAGGTAAAGCTCTTAGGAGCAACTCGGCAACGGGTTTCTTCTTGATGAAACGGACTAAAATATTCGCGAAACATCGGAATCAGACAAAAAAGAATCCACGCGGCTCAAACCCGGAAGCCAAATCTAATATTCATGGACATCACGAAAGGCTCAAATATCTAATATAAATGTCGATAGCGTATAAAAATAACATATATATAGAGAACTAACTTCAACAAAAATGTTTAAGATATGAAAAAATATTTCACAAATCTTATGAAGTTGACGATTCTGAATCTGAACATAGCGATTGTCACTTGCAAAGGATTATCCAGATAAACTTGCATAATCGCATAATACATATATGTAAGAAAATTAAGCAATTATAACATAAAAGATATCTTTTTTATGGACAATGATTGATTTTCTTATACATATGCATAATACGATTGTGCAACTTTGCTCAGATAGACCTTAATGTTCGACGAGTGAATATCAAGAGAAAGAAAGTTAAGATAGTTCGAAAGTGCAAGTAATTCGGAACACTAATCTAGAAAATTATTCTGTAAGAAAAAATTTTATATTTTTACACAGAGACATAAATGATACGTCACAATAAGTATATAAAAAAGAAAGGGTACAAACCAATGGCACGTAAAAGATCCTTAGGTTTCTTCTCAGAGAGTGCTGTTCCTTTTAGCTTATCCTCAAAATTTCTTATTCTTCCCGAGAATTCCTCGTCCACATTACCTTTTTGGTAGCTAACATGTATCTTGGTCTCTCTATCCTAGGAAGAATTAATTATCCAATATAAATTTCTCACAAACATTAAGCCAAAACATCGCTAAAAAATTAGTGCAAACAATAGAAAACACAAGCATCATCATAAATCACATCGATGTTTAGATCTCTATATAAAAATAATAAAGCAACATGTCTAATTAAATTCATATATCAAATTGTTCTTTTGTCGAAAATGAAATTATAATATATTTAGAGAAATTGTTATCACTGAAATTAAAGAATTTTTGAAAAAATAAATAAATTATATTTCAACGAATATGCAAATTGTCTTACGCAGAAAATAATGTTAAAAAAAAGATCCAGATAGTCAAATCGGCATAGATAGATTTTAAGCAAAGTCTGTTATAAATTCTGATGACAAAAAGGCTATAAATCTCACATAGATTTGTTCTATTTGACGATATTGCCAAATTGCTACCAGAAATCTAACAGAGCTTACTAATATATTATGCCAGCAGATTGACAATAGAAACCAAACAGATCCTATAATATTTTTGGTGGTAGATGATATTTAGTGGTTATATGCGTAATTTAGTAGTTTTGCCGTCTATCTGCTGTCAAATCATATGAGTAGGTCCTGTTAGCAGAACACGAATTTAACAATAACGTGTAGGCACAAATGGTTATGGTTTTGTTGCAGAATTTTGATCGAAATTGCTGCCAATCTGTCAGTATATTGCTAATATTTTGTTTATTGAAGAGTGTCAGCAAGACCACTTTCATGCTTATATTAAATTTTTCAGAAATTATATCGATTTAGCAGTTTAAGCCGTAAATACTTCAGAAAAAATGATAATTAGACATATTAAGGGACATTGTCCATGACTCTGACATTCACATATGTTGTGAAAAACATAACGTTCTTTCGACCCCAGGACTTTTTTCCATGATTTGCACCAAATGAGAAGGGACAACGGTGGAGACTGGCATACATGGATAGCAGGTTTTAAAATATAGCAACCTTTGACTTTAAGAGACACAGTTGTACCACTAATAAATGGCAATATAATTTCTCTCTCGCCGTGCGCTCGGGATAGCACCGGAGATGTCGCTTCCAAACGGCATCTCTGAACGAGAGAAAAGGAAACGAGAGTTATCTGGCGAGAGGAAAGAGTCGTGAGCATGGAGCGTCAGGTAACTTACAAGTAATACTACCCAAGTGCTAATCACCGATTTTCTTGAAACTGTATATATATGTTCTACATTGAAAAACATTTGACACGTGCTTGTTTATATCGGCCCATTCTAAAAATAAAAACCACCTTTAGAAAACTTTATAGAGATAAATTCCATTTTTTAAAGATTAATTGTTCGATTATTATCTAATTTGACATACAGGGATTTTTAAGATCGCAGATTTCGAATCTGATGTTAATTGTTCAAAATTCAAGATGGTAGATTAAATATGGCGAATATAATTTTGAAAAAATTAGATAGTTACGGCTAAAAACATTGTCAAAGTTTTTTTTGTTGAATTTGAATCTAAGCACAACTTGAATCTGAGCAATTTTAGAAATTCAAAATGGCGGATCTAACTTTGAAAAATTATATAATCTCGCTCTTTGCCAAACCCGGGAATAACCAACGTGGTGATGGCAAAAAATTATTCCTTTTCTTTTTGGCCTTTTTTGTTTCCGCTTTTTGTTATTTTTTTTAATTTTGTATTTTTTTTATATTTCGACTCAACTAAATTAAATAAAGAAAAACATTATTTACATTATAATAAATTAGTAAACGTTTCATACATTAATCCAGAATGCATTTTCATATATACATACACACACACACACACACACGCGCACGCACGCACGCACGCACGCACGCACGCACACACAGGGTGTCCCATTTTAAAAGATGCACTCTGATAATTCTTCAGTCATATTCAGCAAAAATGTTTCAAATAAAAGTTATATGGTTCGATGGAGGACATAAGAAGGTACCATTGGTTTGACCTTGCATTGTGCTGCCAACATTAGATCGTGGTCAACTTTGCTTTTTTAAATAGAAACGTATATTTTTTATCGTGTAATTTTATTCCACGTAAAGAAACAAACAACTTTTGTTATATATATATATATATATATATATATATATATATATATATATATATATATATATATATAC